GGAGAAACTTGGATTTGGAGGGACGAGCAGTGCCAACGAGTAAATTTCACATGAAGATGGCTTCCTGGGTCAAGGGGAATGGCCCTGGGGAACAGGTGTGTGTGTGTGTGTGTGTGTGTGTGTGTGTGTGTGTGTGTGTGTGTGTGTGTGTGTGTGTGTAAGAGAGAGAGAGAGAGAGAGAGAGAGAGAGAGAGGGAGAGAGAGAGAGAGAGAGAGAGAGAGATAGTAAAGGACGATTTGGTCAGGACTAGACGGTGAACTCCTTGAGGGAAGGGTCTGTGTTTTGGTCACTGTTTTTTTCCCAAGAGCATAACATTGTACCTGGCACATATTAAATAGATGCTGTCAAATGAGTGGATGGATAGATGAGGCCTGTAGTACTTGCTTTGGGATTGGGGGTCTGTTGGTTCTTAGCTTCCATAGATGCACTCAGGCTCTTCATTCTGTCTCAGGAGTTGCTGGAAGGAAATGTCTAGTCCAACCAGGGACAGTTCTTGGAGGGGCACTTCACCAGATGCAAACGTTAAGGACTTGGGCAGAACTCAGAGCTACAGTTGGAACTGCGCCACCTTGTGGTGCCTCTTGGGAGCGCTTCTGTAGGGACCCCAGCAAAGAAAGCAGGGTTCTGAGGGATTGGGGGTGAGGTCACACCAGGCAGCAGCCACCCTTTCTACTATATATCTGATGCTGAATTGCTGTGCCAGTGTTCCTGTGGCACAGTTTTATTATTTGTTTCTTCCTCTGCCAGCATTTACTCTAGGTCAAGCTTGTAGGGGATACAGAGCTAAATCAAAAGCACAACCCTTGGGCCCACGAGTGGCGCATTGGTTAAGAGTTGGCTTGGGACACCAGCTCTGAGCAGTAGGGCCCCGGTTCGGATCTCACATTAGGGCCAGTGACGCTGCGCCCTCTACAGCTAAGATGGTGAATAACAACTCGACCTGGAGCTGAGCTGCCGTGAGTGACTGGCAACGGCGGAGGCTGCAGTGAGGCTGCAGTGGGCTGCCATAAAGCTACCGTGAGTGGCCGGCAGCCTGCATGAGTTCCAAGAGCTGTGAGCGGCCCTCCAGTGGCCAGCGACTGATCTGCCTCACCCGGGAAGAGCACAATGATAATCCCAATATGGGTCAGTGAAGCGACATCCTCCACAATTAGACTGAAGAACAAAAGGACAGCAACTTATCTGTTCCCCTTCCCTGATTCCCTAACACTGTTCCCCTCCCCCCAACTCCCCCAATAAAATCTTTTTTTTTTTTTTAAAAACCCACAACCCTTAAGTAGCTCATGGTCCAGTGGGGAACTCCACACAGTAACAAGACCAACAAAGGTCATAATCAAGCAGCAGAGAAAATAATGCTATAGGAATTGAGGAAGCACCTGGGACAGTCACAGCTCAAACACTCTCTGTCTCCCCCAACCTCTCCCTCAGCTCCTCTCACTAAAGCTCTAACATCATATCCTTGCTTTCTAAAGGCACTTCATGATTTGGCTCCCACACGTCATTCCAGGGGCCCCTGCCTCTGCATCACTGCATTCTCCAGTGCCTCTGTTCCCTGTGAAAGCTGTGTGCTTTTCTACCTCTCTACCTTGCCCACTCTCTGGAATGCACCTTTTCCCCCTTCCCCCTTGTTGAAACCCATCTCTAATGTCCCTTCCTCCCTGGAGCTCTTCTAATTTCCCTTGGCAAAGTGGTCTTGCCTCCTGAAGCACCTTCTTGGCAGGGCTTTCACTAGCAGCATATACTGGCTGTCCCATGAGTGACTGGTTACCTGTGTATGTCACTCATCCTCCTACTAGGCTTCTAGCTTCCTGAGGACATGGGCTCTGTGTTTGTTCATCTTAGCATCCCTTGCAGAACTGAGCTAGGCACATCATATGCCCTCTTTAACAGAATAAATGGATGGATGGATGGATAGATGGATGGATGATTGAATAAATGGATGAAAGTATAGATGGATTAAATCAATGGATGGATGAGAGATGGGTTGGTGGATGGATGGATAAATGGATGAGTGGAATGTACAGATGGATGGATGCATAGATGGACAAACAAAAGGATGGATGGATGGATGGATGGATGGATGGATGGATGGATGGATGGATGGAAGGAGCAACTGTTCTCTAAAAGGACTTACAAAAGGCTATGTAGTACCAGGGGCTTCCAGGAAGGAAGCCTGCCTCATGCCAGGACATTCAGAGGAGGGGGCAGTATCCAGGCTGAGCTTTCATTCACTAACATATGTATCCTCAGTGATTTGTCTCCCAGAGGCCTGCGTATGCTCCCACTCCCCAGAAGTCACAGTCTGGGAGCTGCTCCTTCCTTCCTTCCTTCCTACTCCCCTGGACTCTCTGGAATGCTGTCATTAACATATGTTATTTTGTTCTGCCTGTACTGTAACAACTCTGTGAGTTTCCTCTTCCACATCCCTTCCTCTATCTCACCCTAGATTGTGCGCTCCCTAAAGATAGGAACCATCTTCTCTTGTGTGTCCCTACAGCCTGGCATACATGTTTAATGGGTGAGTGAACAAATGAATAACTGAGTGAATGCTGACTCTTTTCCCTACAGTCACACTTTTCACACTTCGCATATACTCATTTTCAGCCATCTCTCCTGGTCCTCTCCTACTCACACACACATACACACACTCCTGGCCCTGAGTCCCCTAAAGTCCCGGAGTTATGGCCTGGTTCTTTGTTTCCTTTACTAATTTGTGGCTGATCTAGAGAAGTCCCAGGGCTTTCCTAAGAGTCTGAAAGGAGAGGAGGCTCTTAGCTCCTTGAAAGCCATATTAACTGGGCCCCATTTGGGATAGAAAAGGGCTTCCCTGGGAAGAGCCCAACTGTGGGGAGAGTAGTAGGGTCCTGTGCTAACCTGAGGGCTGCTGCTCCATTCTGACCACACCCTCCAGCATCTGCTATCCCTAGTCCTGACCTGTGATGCTGTCCCAGGTGGGTGTGGCCTTGAGGCTGGCTGGCCGGCAGACACAGCCGGATTTAGAAGTCATTTTCGCAGCAGGGAGCCTACAGCCTCCCACCCACAGGGCCCTGCAGGGTCAGTCTGAGATATGGCTCACCAAGGGCTGGCCCCCAGACCAGCAGTCACTCTTTCCCTTCTCTCTCTCCCTTTCTCCCCAGATCTTTAGCAGCTGGTGCTGATTCCACCCTTAGGCAAAGATGGAGGAAGTCCTGGGGGAGGAGGACACATTACAATGACACACTAACCACCCAAGTGCTCCCACTACACCATTTACCCATTCAAGTGGTGTATCTCCACCCCAGGGATTCCCTCTCCTCTCTGCTGCCTGTTCCTCCTCTTCCCCTATCTCTACTTCTCTCTTCCTCCTGTTCCTATACACCCAACACTAATGAGATAGCCCTAGAGAGAAATAATAATCAGAGCTTAACATTTATACATCACTTATTAGGTACCAGGAATTGTTCTAAGTGCTTTACATATTGAATCATTTAATCTTCCCAACAAGCCTATGAAAAGAACACTTCTAATAACCCTGTTTTATAACTGAGGATACCAAGGCAGAGAGATTGAGTAACTTGCCCAAGGTCACACAGCTTGTATGAGGTAGAAGCAAGATTTAAACCCAGGCTGCCAGGCCCCAGAGTCTATGTTCTAAACACAACACTACACAAGTTCTTTCACAATGATAGCACTGTGGATGTGCTCTTAGAAGCTGGCCTCCTGGGTGTTCAGCCTTAAAGAGGCTCAGGCAGCATGGTGGAGCCTACCTTCTCAAGGCCAGCCCCTCCACTATCCCATGCAGCTCACCTCTTGTACCAGCTCCAGAGCTCTGGAGACCCTGAGCTAAAGCAAAATCCAGGCAGATGCTCTTACGGCTCCCCTTCTATCTTCCTCCTAGCCTGAAGTCATCCTCTTCTCAAGCCCAGACCTCCAAGGCACACACTCCTCAGCTGGATCAGGCTCACCCCAGCCTGGCTTGGGTTTTCACTCCTGCCTTTATCTTCCACAACTCCCCTGAATGTACCTTCAACTCCTGTCAAACCAGACCATTTTCCCTACATTCACCTCTTATTTTTTATGCTTCCTCCACTTGGTACCCCTTGCCCCAAATCCTCCCTTGTTAGACTCCTTCAAATACTTCACAATCACTGATCAATATTATCATTATTTACATGTTTTCACCTTCATGCCATTGTCAGGCAAGTCTTACTCATCTTTTTTCCTGGAGCCCAGCCCAGTGCCTGGTTCCCCTCAGGTGCTCAGTAAATGCTCAATAGTTAGAACCAGTAGTAGATAGAACTGTAGGTGGAAGGGAGACAGACCTCAGGAACCTTTGATCTCTGTCCAGCAGGAGCTAACTTGAAACCTGATAGTGTGGGTTCTAGGTAGGTTCTGGGATGGACCTTCCTGGGTGACTGGCCAATGTTCTCCCCTCAGGTTCAGAAGCCCCAAAAGGACCCCTTTTCCCTGCAATGAACCAAGACCAGGTGGCCTGGCTTAGGGTCCAGTCCCGTGGCCTCTCAGAACGCCCAGCCCCCTCCCTGTCCTGCCCAGTCTCTCCGGGTGCGGGTGGAGAGTGACGTCGAGATAATTGGAGACCAAAACCATAAGTGGTTTGAGAGCGGGACTGAGGATCTGAACGCTGAGCCTGAGTTGGAGTTGGCGGGACTCGGTGGGGGTGGGGGTGGGGGCAGAGGCGGGGCCAAGGGCCAGGACTCCGCGACTGAGTCTGGGCGAAGCCCCCGCGCAGGCCGAGTCGCCGGCTAAATTTACCCAGGCTGACTCAGCCCTTGCCCGGAATGGGGGTGGGGGGGTAGGGGGGAGTGCGCCGGGGCAGTGGGAAGAGCCAGCGGGGGTGAGGTGGGGGACAAGGAAGGGAGAGTCCGGACTGGGGGAGACAGGAGTGGGCCGGGAGTTTCCATCAAATAAAGGAGTCACCCCCTTCACCGCCCACCGAGCGGGAAAGAGCTGTGAAGCCCTGGGGGAGGGACACTGTGGGGAAAGGAAGAAGATGCCAAGGTTGACAAAGGGAAGCTTAGATTTATTGAGCGCCTACTGTGTGCCAGGCACTGTGCAAGGCGCTTTACATATGTTATCTCATTAAATCCTCACAACAACCCTGCGAGGTAGGTGTTTATATACCCCCATTTGACAGATGAGGAAACTGAGGCTCAGGGAGGTGAAGTGATTTGGCCAAGTTCACATGGCTAGTAAATAGAGAGAGGAGGTGTCCAAGATCAGAGAGAAAAAAAGACTTCAGTGTCTAGGTCCCAAGCCGGTTGGCATGGATGAGCACAAAGAGGGGTCGGCACGCTCCAGAGGTCTGGAAGGCCAGAGGCCTGCTCCGGACCTCGCACACCTGGAGTCCGCAAGGCAGGGGACCCTCCCGCGCGGTAACTAGAGATCAATAGATTAACTGGCGGTACCAGGGTAGGAGGGACTCAGGACTAGCTACCCGGGAAATCCGCGACCTGCACGCGCCCCGTAGTGGCTACAGCGAGTATCACACCCCACACCTACAGGCTTTTTGGGACCAGCCTTCCTCTTCTTTTATCCCTGGCCAGTTTCTGGAAGAGGCAGAGATGCAAGAAATTCTCAGGGTCCTTTCAGATGGGTGGTACCACCTGGGTGGGACATCGTGTTAACGATTCAGAGCATCACTAATTAATATTGGGAAGGAGGAAAAGGGGACGTTCTAAAGAGGTTCCAAGCTGATTCATTGGCTGCTTTCCCTCCCCTGCTGGGACCACCACCCGCCGGGGACAGTGACAAGGCCATCATCCTGCCCTGCCTTGGAGAGCCCTCACCCAAACCTGAGACTGGGATAGGAGCCCTTGCCCATTTACTCAGTTCTTCTGCAAACCCTGGAAAGTATCTTAAATTGAGAGTGAGTGCAGGTGACGATAAAGCCACTCAGGGACCCTCAGACTCTGTTCACTTATTCTTAACTCTTTCTTGGCTTGTGAAGGGGAGGATGAGATAAAAGCTTCCCCAAAGGCTCCCAAACGTGGGGGATGGACTCTAGAACTCCCTCATTTTATATACTAGGAGGCCTGGAGAGAAGTGACTTGCCTAAGGTCACCCAGCAAGTCAGTGTCAGAGTTGAGATTGGAACCCTAGACTTGTGACACCAAAGTGAGCTTTGGTGATTGCTTCTGGACCCCTTCCTTTTATGCCAAGGGCCTCTCGGTCACATGGTCACCTCAGTCTGAAACCTCTCCATCACTTTCTCCCTCTTTGCAGGGAGGCTCTGCCCTGAAGTTGCCTTCCCATGTCTATACCATTCCCGCCCTCCTGCCTGCTGCTGGCCAGGCCTTTCGCCTCAGCTCCACACCCAGTGCAACCACCTTTGCTGAAGACCTTACCCAAGTGCCCTGAATGGAGCAGGCATTAAAGTCCACTGCTCACCCTCACCTCACCTGAAAAAAAAAATCATAAATCGGCAAATACTCCCTTTCCTTCCATTTGGGCGGCTTCTATTTCGAGTATGGGAACCGGTATAGGTTGGGGTACAAAGAAGTCTGTGAGGAAGAAAGGGGACCAATGGGCCTGAGGATGGATGTGCTGGGGAACACAAATACAAGAAAGGGCATCTTACTGCCGCTCCCTATTTCCCCGTGGGGTCCCCCTTAATGTCCCTAGCCCCGAAGAGGACCTCCTCGGTTTGGCTGATGACACCTAGAATGTCTCGGATACTGTCGCCCAGCTTGGCTGTCTTCCCGCCTTCCCGGGTCCGGGTCCGCTCACTCCGCCAGGAGGCACCCGAGGCTTCTGTGTCACTTCCATCAGAAGAACCGCTGTGGACGCTGAGCTCCGCAGCTTCGTCCGAATCCGAGTCCGGGGCAGTGTGGCGGCGGATGCGGGAAACGGCTTCCCGCAGGGCCCCGGCGTAAGGCCCCGGGTTCCTCGCCCAGCCCCGGTTTGTGGGCCGCAGGACCGCCGCCACTTCCCCCAAGCCCTCGGCACAGCCCGCGCCTCCCGAAGCCGCTGGGCCTAAGGCTGAGTGCTCTGGGCTACCTGCCTGTGTGGGAGCATCCCGCAGGTTTACTTCGCCCATTGGGAGCCCCAAGATGCGCGAGGCGCGCTCCTCCAATGAGGAGTCCGCGGGCTTCCTGCCCTCAGCCTCGAACCCGTGACCCCCACCCGGCTGGTGTGAAAGGCGATTGCTCAACAGCAACTTTTGGCAAGGGGAAGGAAAGACCGCGGCCCCCTCGCCCTCCTTGTTGGGCTTGGGCTGGCTGGGGGCATCCCCCACAACGCGTGGCATCCCAGCGGGCAAAAGCTGCACATGCTGGGTTCGAGGGGTTGGGACATACTGGGACCTTATTACCACGCACGTGGCGTCAATGACAAAGATGCCTTCTCCACGAGCAGGGCCCCGGGAACTGCGGGGTAGGGTGTGAGCGCGACGGGTTGCCTTACAACCCTCCAAGGTCTCGAGTCCGGCCCCTTCTATATGGCCTAGGGACTCTCTCCATCCTGTGCCTCCTGGAGCCCAGGGTCTGGGAAGGGTCTGGCTATGTCGGGGTGGCTGCTTTTTAAGGGAGGGAATCCAGCATTTGGGGAGCCAGCTCTGTTCTTTCCCTTCTTTCCCTTCTCCAGAGGCCTTGAGATGGGGCCTGGACCTGGGAGCGGGACGCGGGGGCCTGGGAGTCGCAATTGTAGACCCTGGAGGAGCTGTCGCTGTCCCTGGGCTCCCAGCAGCTTTGGCTTGGGGGTGACAGTCGCTACCACTGTTCAGGCCAGCAGCAGCCAGCCCCAGGCTTTTTTCCGGGGCCCCCTTGCGGGGCTCCAACCTTGGCCTGGCTGTTCCACAGCCTGGGGATCCCCCCAAGAGACCCCTCCCCTGTCGGAGACCCCAAGCCCCAAGGACGTCGCGGTAGATTCGAGGATCCAGCCTCTTCTTTGGGCACCCACCATCTGTCCTGGCCGGAGTTCGAGCAGGGGCTAATGAAACGGGCGCCTGTGAGGGCTCAGGGCCTCTATTAGTCCCCAAGGTCCTGTGAGGTCCTTCGTAAGAAGGGGGAGCCACGTAGGGTGGCGGCCGGTCCCAGCGGCGTCGCGGGGCAGTCCCGGCAGCGCCTCTCAGCAGCAGGTGAGCCTCGTAGCTTGGGGGCCCTGGCCTGCGACCTCCCCAGGGCCCCGCCCACGCCGCCCCTGCGTTGCTCAGCGGCTGCGCGGATGGACGGGGTGGTCTCCCCACCTGCCCCAGGCGCTCTGGCCTTGACAGAGCTGGGAACCCTGCAGGCTGGGCCACCCGAGGGGCGTTCCGAGGCTCCGGCCGGGGCCGACCCAGGGGGCTCCTTCGGGCCCCACCAGCCTTGCGCCTTTTTCGCTCGGTCTCCTTGGCCTCCCGCTCCTGCGATGCCGCTTTCCTTTTCTCTTGCTCCCGGGCTCGAGCCTCGGCCGGGGGTCCCGCCCGCCAGTTGGTCGCCTCCTGCAGCACCCTGGAGGCCCAGGGCCGGCGGGGCGGCGGCTCAGGGGATCCCGGGCGCGGCCCACACCTGGGACAATGAGCAGGAACCCAGGTGAGCAGTTTGTGGGGGAAGGGAGCCGAGTTCCGGGGAGCTGGGAACACTGCCGACCCCTTGGGGCAGCCATGTGGAGGTATGTGTGTAAGTGTGTGTGCACGTGCGTATATGTTAGGGCTGAAGTCGAAGCGGGACCGCTCACCATCTCTCCATGCACACTTTAACAGCGTCTGCCCCATCTCACCTCCTGCCCTTTTTCACACCTACTCCTGTACCCCCACCACAACGCTGGATAGGTCAAGACCCCAGCCATGGGAATGGGGGGGGGCATGGGAAAGAAAAGGGGAACCTGCAGCACTGGCTGGTGCCTATGGGGAGGTCCGGACTCCATTCCCTCCCCCCCACCACCACCACTCTCTTCCCCTCACCCCTCCACTCACGTGCGGCTCTGGGGCCCGTGGGCCCAGTGGCTGGCCTGGAAGTCCATGGGCTGTCGAGGAGGGGCACGGCGACTATAATGACAGGAAATAGTCTTCACTTGGATCACCAGCAGCTTGGATTTCTGCACCCAGAGGCAGCTGCCAGACTCCTCATCCTGGAGCTCCCGGGGGCTGTCGGGCCCCTCGGAGAATAGCTGGCCATCCAGCATCCTGCCCCACCCCACCCTGGCCCC